GTGCACTCAAGAAATTGGTTAGGAAAACAGAATACAGAGACCTTCAAATACGGCAAGGTTAAGTGATTTGACCTAGGTCGTAGGAAAGATAAATGACAGTGTTAAGAACAGGATCTGTCTAGTGTAAAGAGCTTGTTTTAAATCTACTCTTCAATACTAGTTTCTAAATCAGAGGTTTTGTTTTACAAAGTAAAGGGAAATTAAATAAGTAAAGGAATAATTAGAATTAAAATTTCCATCGATTCAATTCTGCTGTCTCGTGTCTTTCAACTTTCCAAATGATATATTTTCTTTACATTAACGAAATAAAATGGATACTGGACAGTGTCATTCGTAAGTCTTTATCCAGGTGGATGACGGAGAAACAATTTGAGAACCACAGGAGGTTAAGCCCTCAGTTGAAACAGTCTTTGAAAATTTGGTCAAGAAACAATATTCAATATTTCTAGTTCTAAAGAGACAATTAAGACCAGCTAGCATAGTTTTCCTTAGAGTCGTTTTATTTACGTATCTGTTTATTCATTCATTTATTCATTCATTCATTCAGTTATTCATTCTAACACGATATACTTCAAATAAGAAACCCAGTTTCTGGAAATGATCTGAGATGAAAAATGAATTGTCAGAATCACAGAGACGGGATTCCTTATTTATTGGCCTGGAAGTAAAATCAAAATGAGGGTAGACTGTATTGTAATCACTATTACAAGCATGACTACACTCTTCCTTCAGGGTATGGTTTCTAGAATCTACTTTGTGACCTCGTGCACATTTACCTGGGCAAAGCAACATTCGCCTCCACAGTCCGACTCAAAGGGTGATTAGAGGAGAGTAATTGACGTCCAAGGAATTTTCAAAAACTTTATTTATATGTAAACATACTAGAATAAATCATCAGTAAGAAAATATAATTTCTAGACATTTTCTAAATACATACTTTTTATTTTACTGTAGCACTCCCTCATTGGTCTGTGTTGTTTCACAGTGTGTGCTTTATACTTCCCACTACGGAGGCCAAGGGGATCTGTAAAAACTTTGCTGTCTTATCCAGAGGGTAGCTATGTGACCTAGACAGAGCCAGGCAATGTTCTCCCAGAGCAAGTGAGGCAAAAGGAAAGGGGCACGCAGGTTTTCATTTGCGCAAACGGTATTAATGATGTCCTGGAGTTAGGCTAGTATTATGTTGGCCAGGTTGTTTCTGCTTCCTGTTTTTTTAGCTAACCTTGTTACCATGGTTTCTGCCTGATTCACAAGCCTGATTCTCTAACTTATTTTGAATGTTCCAATAAATTCTATTTCTGCTTGAGATAGCCACAGCGAGTTTTTATTTCTTGCAATCAAGAACATTGACTGATACAAAAAAAAGTCTTTATTATACAAATAAGTATGGACTTTAGTCCTTTCTACAACATTTTTGGATTTTTAGAATGGTGCATTTAGTCTTTATTTTTTTTCACAAATCTTATTACTGTTTATGAGTCATTTGGGCTAAACTTTCTCTGTCAACTGATTTTTTAATTTCTGTTTTGTGAAACAGTGAAGCATATGTCTGTTGGTTCCATCATCAACCTTGAAGGTGCCAAGGACTTTTAGCTTCCTAATGTAGCACAAAATAAGATATAGATGTGGATATTTGTTAATGTGTTAATGTCTTTAGTGCCCGTTGGTAAAAAGACGGACACTTTCCATGAAAGCCATAGGATTGAGTAGTAAAGGTTATATAGAATATAGAGAAAACTCCTGACCCATTTCCACATTTCAGAATCTTCTTCCAATTTTAGCTTGATTAAAACACACAGCAACCAGTGCTGTCACAGAGGAATCCATTTGTTATTTGATGTTTACCCTTAATTACGAGGGGTTTATTCCTAGAGATTTCCACCTAAATTCATCTTGTGAGCTTTCTTTTTTAAAACTGTTACATTAAACTTTATACGTTAGCTTCAAATTTATCATTCAATTCCCTGTCTAGCCTCAATAAATCAGACACACAAAAAAGTATATCAATTATCAACTGATAGTTTGCTTAAAAGCACAAGAAAATGTTAAATGAGAATAGGTTATAATATTTATTATCTAATTGCAAATAGGAGCATGAGAATATGAGTAAACAAAACAACTTTACATCCATTTCCAGCCACAGGATCAAGGACCTGATTAAAAAGCAACTGAACTCAATTTGAAACCAAATTCAATGCACATCAGTCAAAAGACAGTCAACATTTCAAAAGTGATTAAAGGAAAGCAAATGACATTTTAGAGACCAATTTCTCAGGAATGCCATTTCAGGCAATGGTGTGCCTTTCTTAGTGTTTCCACAATCAGATGTGTTTATTAAGTAAGATGCTAAAAGTTAAGGTAAATGTATTAACGATATTGATGGATGTATTTGTTACAGGAAGACAACCTGTGGGCAAAACAAAACAGGAGAATGGGAAATGGAATCTTTCCTTCATGAGTTTCCTAAAATACAATTTTACATTATTAAAGTGGTAGCACATATTTGGAGGGTAGCTAGCAATCTTTGCTTTAGTGGAATATATATTTCCTAGGGGATATTTAATATTTAATAGGAAGATAATTCTTGTAAACTCCTTGTAATTATAACTTATCTTTATGAAAAATCAGCACTTAAGTATTCAAATATTTTAAATGTCTATATGTAATGTTTCCTTTATATTTTATTGCATTGATTTCTTTTTAAATATAAGCTAAAAAGCTGACATATTTGAATATTAACGTTCAAATATATTATTTGTTAATAGAATGTCTTAAGCACCATTAATGATTATTAGTGAACAGTATTTGTTATTTATGTCAAAAACACACACGTCTATAACTTATAGGGATGTACGAGCAAAGTTATAGATAATACTTTTCTTAATTATTTCTTAATACTCATACATTAGTATCCATGTGAGAATTTATGCTAAAAATCTCATGCAGTCTATCACTTGTCAAAGAAATACCTATAATTTTTAAAAACTTTTTCTATTTAAAAGTTTGATAAGAAGGCACCCAGATCAATCCCAACAGAATGGTATAAATAAAAGTTGCATGGGGAAGTTTGGAGGAATGAATAACTTTACACCAGCATCACTTAGACAGGAGGTACACATAATTTTAATGAAATATTAGAAGGAAACCCTTGTTTGACTCTATTACTCGGTTGTCCAACATGGGCAATTAAAAGAAGAATAAATTTCCTCTTCACAGAGAAATTACAAGCTGGAAGAGAAGTAAAGTACAAGCAGGAAGTAGTTAAGTAGAAATAGAAGGTAAATATATCAATGCTTTTTTATTAAAACTGATTCTAAGTGCACTTGAAAGGCCTGAAGAAAGACACAATGAGGTGTATGGCTCTTGAGACAAGCCAGGCTATATAGGGAGGACCAATGCAAAGAGGGGAGGCAGTCTGTTCTGGAGCAAGGTGAAAAATAATCAAGACTAGAAAGCAAATGCATGTGATTTTCTGTGGGCCCAGAACAAAGAGTATGAAATTTAAATGCATTGCAAATAAAGTACAATAGAGGTTTTGAGAGTCTCTAAGAACTCTAGGAACACAGTGAATAGACTTTCCATATAGTTATGAGAGAGAGTTGATTAACCCTGATTCTTAGCTGTGCTAAGAGGATGACAGAAAGAAATTTGAAAAAAGGAAATCTAAATATATAGTATGAGATCAAGATTATCAGTGTTAAAAAGGGTTCATAATAGAGCAAGCGTACCCATAGAGGGTGAGCATTAAGATTACTGCTTTTTAAGTTAGATCCTCCAAAAGGAAGGGGAGTAATAAAATTATTGTGGCTATAAGTGAAATTAGGGGCATGCTTTATACATTTGCTATAGGAAGAGAATTTTTGTTTTAACTATAGGAATCATTTATTTCTTTTAACATGTTCAGAGAACAAGTCTAATTATTAAACTTGTAATCACAATAAATAAGGAGTCAATGAAAAGTACATACAAGTATCTCAGTGTTTAGCTTGTTTTCTAATCTTGTGTAGCTTCGGAAAGAAAATCCGGGTATGGATGACTCTTTTCTCCCTTTTGACCTATAGTGGAAGAAAAAGAATCTAATCTAGTCCTGTTATGTTAGCATTATGCCCCAGTGGTGACATTATGAAGTGTTCATTTTAAAAGGAAAATTTCGGATGTCAGCATTTCTCTCCAGGAAAAATATAAATAAATGCAAAAAGCCTGTCAAGCAATATTTTGTAAAAGTTAAAATCTTAGGTAGGTACATCAATATCAATTATATTAGATGATTCAAGCTGAAGCTGCTGAAGAGGGCACTCATAATCTAATCCAATATTAATTTCCTTAGTTAATACAAGGAGAATGGGAAAACAAGAAAGTAGACATATTTTTAGTAGATTTTAAAACTTTAATTTTCTTGTAGAAAAAAGGGAGAATGAATAAATTGTCTTGGAGTTCTGTATATTTCCTCTGCTAAAGGAATTAGCTTGATAATGACAGATACATATAGGCAATTTTTAAAGGGCATTTACAGATATATTCATTTCAGCTGTGTCTTAACTGAAACTCATTATATAACCACGATAAGTGAAGTTGATTGCATAAGACAACTAATCCATTAGAGCTGAGAAATGGAAGAGGGATGACTACTTTTTTGTGACTAGTATGGCCCTCAGGTAACTTGAATTGAAATACCGTCATTTTCTGATCCATGTCAGAAGTTCTCTAGGGCAAAATCGCTTTAAAAAGGAGTGAGGGGGATGAACCATCCATCCCGTTACCGAGGGGGTACAGAGTAATATTCGTCAGCAATTAATGAACAGAATTTTGGTTTAGAAGGAAGAACTTTGTAGTAACTTTGATAAAGTCCTCAGAAATAGACAACCAAATGCTCACTTGATAACAGCACTGTCAGGTCTCCACAGGTGAAACCACAAGCAAGCTCCACGCCACCCGTGGAGTTCATCGCCTACCCGTGAAGGAGAGAGGTTGATGTAAATCAGTCAACGGATGAATGTTTACTGGGTTCCAGGGCTGGAGGCATTTTTCGTTTTTTGGCATATGGTTTCTAGAACTTCCTCTCTCTCAGCATCTCTTTGCACAATTACTGCATATGGTCACTGGCTAACGATTCCTTCATAGGCAAACCTTCCTTAGTAAGAAATTCTGTGAACAGAGGAAAATAACAATGACCACAAACCAACAACAACATAAAATAGCTTTCCCCTAAGACTTATGTAGAACTTTCTTCTTTTCTAGTTATCTTCTTTGTACTCATCAATTTTTTTGCCGGGGGAGAGATATTAGAACTGGAAGAATCTGTGAGTTTAGAAGAAAAGATTCAAGAAAACTCTTATTTAGGTTTACCTCTAAAATGGAAAAAAAGATTCTGCACCATTTAAGCTACCTTGGGAATTATATAGTGACTTGGAAATCATCTACCATCACTAGCATCCTTACTACTGCTTTTATTGTCAGGGCTTGTGTCCTCTACAAATATTTTCCTTTAGAATCCCACCCAGCAGTTAGATGCAGTCTCAGTAGTTTACTGCTTGAAAATGGGATTGAGGAATTGTGCTTCAGCCCTCCACAGGGGACACACGAGACTTGTATTTGTTGTGGCTGCTGGATAGTAAAAGTTTAGAAAGAGCCAGGGAATTATTTTAGGAAAATTATTATCTGGGGATATTATTTCTTCTGTCAAAACAATTGATTTAATAGTGAGATTTTATATAATTAAATTCCATTGGATCAAAGCTATGGTATTATATAACTTTCTTTGAACTTGATTAAACAATATACAGGTATAAGACTCAGATCGGAGATAACATATCGACTGACTTCTCTACTGAAATTGAAGTTTTGAGGTGAGATTCATTAACGTCTTATTATATTCCATTTAAGAAGCTTCTTGTTACAACAGAAGAGATATGCATATAAGCCTTCATGAGCCAACGTGTTGACATACAATTATTGCCAAATTAGTACAAAGGTCTGGATAGAGGTTTTTGAAACTCTGTATTCTTTGTTCCTGAAGGGTATAATAACTCTAGTTAACTCTCTCTAGTTAATTATTACTAGCTTATTGTTATTAGTGAGATAAAATGTACTTATTTCGCCTCCAGGGGGAATTTTAGGTTGATCTCAACTCCTCACTTCCTTTGATTTCATCTCCAAATATATGGACAAAAAAGGTTACTAAATATTAAGGATATTTGTTAGACCATAATATAGGTACAGCTTCTCTTTTTTATTCACATGGAGTTTGGTCTCTTGGGGAACTTCCTCTCACATTTGTCCAAGCTGCTTGCGTGAGAAGAGCCTGAGTGACTCCACCCAGAAGTTGCCCCATCCAATGGCCTAAGCCCTGGAATGAATTTTTTCTTGTTCAAGTTTTTATCTGCTTTTGGAGTAGCCCATTGAAATTAGGCTAAAAGATGGGGAAAAGAAACTAAATGAAAGTTCAATAATAGTAAAGTCCCTTCTATGCATATGTTTACCTTGAAGTCCTTGTAAAGGGAGGGTAAAGAAATGTTGGCAACAGAAAAGGATTCAGAAATTCATGATCCAATGACTGAGGTCACACCCTGTCTCTATCCTTCACAAATAGAAACAACAGAAGCAAATGACATCCATTCTAGAGATGAGGGCTAGCATCTAGAAGAAGAGATTCTCCTTTGTTTACTCATATAATGAATGGTTAAAATGACTCAAACCAGTTCATATTTTATGTGCATATCTGTTCTTCTGATACACCACTACCTTTTAAAAATATTACCTGAAGAAATAGACTATGTATGTTACAAATATTTTGAATATATTATGAATTTTTATCCACAGAATATTTAAAACACAAACTCAGAGAAACATTACTGCATATTATAAAAATCAAAAATTAAGATGTTTAAATATAGGATGAAATATTAGCAATTTAGCCTGCTACTAATAACAGCAGAGTTAAGGCCATTTTTCATTAAAATAGGGAGAGCCTAGCTTCTACTTAAAAAATTTCTATCAAAGAACAGCTCTCCACTATTTGGAGAAGCCCATTTCTTTCTCTGCAATTCTTTGTTTACCATCCAGCAGGCAGCTTTGCTAAAGAGAGACGTGGAGCCAAAGGGAGTAAAGGGAGGGACGGCAGACAGAATTGGACTTGATAACCTGCTGGGGTAGCAGACATTGCTCCATATCACGGTTGGGGATGCATGCAAACGATCATTCTTTTAAATGAATGAGTCTACAATTTTAATCAGATTGTCAAAGGTTCTTACAATCCTCTCCTCTCAACCGCCAATAAAGACTAAAAACTACTGTTTAGAGATTAGTATGCCTCTCTAAAATTATTGCTTATTGAGATGCAAAAATATTTTATAATTGGTTAATATGTTTCCACTTTCATACTATTGTAATTCACATAACAATCTCTAATTCACTGCATACTTGTAAGAAAAATAAATCAGAACCAAAATAGACATATTTTTGGTTTTATGAAATACATTTAAAAAATTGTATCAATCTTTTGTGAGTACGAAGAGTTAGGCAGCATAATTTTAAATAAGGTTTCCTTTGTTTACAGGAAGAAAACTTCAAATATTGATTTGTCATTTATTCATCATGTGATGCAAGAGAGAGGCAGAAAAGAGTAATTGAAGAATTAGGTCTCTGCTTCACTTCTAATTCTCTTTCTTTTGAGGTTTGTGCCTAAATTTTATGACTGTCTGAATATAGCTTTCAGGGTTTCATCACAAATAATTTGGCCATTCAAAGACAATAATATCAGACTTGATGTATTTTTTTCTAAGCGATAAAATGCATCCAAAGACCCCAAGGTTGAACAGAATATAGTAAGGGGTTGGGGTTTCATCGTTATCTGGTGACAGCATGGTGAATTAAGGCAGTGCTTACTGAGATATCCTGTGGGGTCCAGACACAGGAGGTCAACTTGGATTTTTTTCATTCTCTTTTATTAGGTTCCTTATGATCAACCTTTACACTCTTTGAAACTGTTTTATTGGTTGTAGCCGTGTGCTCTGTATATACATATCCTGGCCAAGAGAGCAGATTTAAAGGAGACATGGCCTAAAAAAGGAAGGTTCCCACCTGGTGAGTTTAAAACTGATGCAAGCTAGCAAGTTACCCTGCAAAGATTGTTTTCAAAAATAATGAGAGAACCCAGGAGAAATATCTTCCTTACTTAGACATCTTTACAACAAAGTGAGCTACTGAGACAATTAAAAGAAAAAAATATTCATTCTAAACTTCTCCAGCAATTTTCAAAATCCCTGCTCAACATATGTTGTTGTTCTTTTATAATAATGTAAAAATTTGCTTGATATTTATTAATATCACCTCCTATCTTCCCAAAGAGGCCTCATGAAAAGCTGTGTCGTTTTTAAAATTCAGAAATTCCTCTGTTGAATAACTGGTTTTATTATTAAGGCAAATATTTATGCATCTTACAATGTGCAGACATTGTCTTGCATGGTTTGCATGGATTATTTCACACACACACAAACACACATGTGTGCACACACACACATGAATAAATGCCTTGAAGAAAGACTTAGTACTACTTTGATTTTCCAAATAAAACCATGACACAGAAGGCTTAGAGTTAGGAAGTGGCAGAGTTGGTTATGAACTCAGATCATCGTGCTCTAGAATTAATGCTATTCCCCATTGTGTTAATGGAAGTAATGTTTTGTTATCCGGTATATTTTTTGTAATAGCTTTACTGAGCTATAATTGACATATGGTACAATTACTCAAAGTGTAAATTCAATTTTTTTATTATATTCACAGAGTTGTGCAACCATCATCACAATCAACCTTGGAACATTTTTATCAGCCCAAAAGGAAATCCTTCCTCCTGCAGTTATCTCCCTAAACACCCCTTAGGCAACCGCTAATCTGCTTTTGTCTCTATAGATTTCCCTTTCCTGGACTTTCTTATGAATGGAATCACATCATATGTGGCCTTTGTTACCGGCTTCTTTCACATAGCGTAATGTTTTCAAGGTTAATCCATATTGTACTATGTTGTCAATACTTCATTCATTTTTTATGGCCAAATGATACTCCATTATATGGATAGACTATATGTTTTTTATCTGTTTGTCAGTTGATGAGCATTTGGGTTGTTTCTACCTTTTTGCTATTATGAATAACACTGCTATAAATATTCATGTATAAGTTTTTTAGTTTTTTTCTTTTTGAGGAAGATTGGCCCTGAGCTAACATCTGCACCCATCTTCCTCTTTTTTATATGTGGGATGCTGCCACAGCATGGCTTGATAAGCAGTGCATAGGCCCGCGACTGGGACCTGAACCAGTGAACCTCAGGCCACCAAAGTGGAGCACACAAACTTAACGACTATGCCACCAGGCTGGCCCTTGTGTACACGTTTTTATGTGGAGATATGTTTTAGTTGCCCTTGAGTATGTATCTATAAGTTGAATTGTTGGGAAATATAGTAACTCTGTGTTTAAATATTTGAGAAGCTGCCAGACTGTTTTACAAAGTGGATGCTGTATTTTACATTTCCTCCAGCACCGTCTGAGCATTCTGACTACTCCATACCTGTCTAACACTTGATATTATCTGACTTTTTTATTCTAGCCATCCTAGTGGATATTTAGTGATATCTCGTTGTAGTTGTAATTTGTATTTCTCTGTTGACTAAAGATGCCAAGCATCTTTACCTTATTTATTGGTTATTCGTATATCTTCTGGCAAATGTCTATTCATAACTTTTACTCTTTAAAAAAATTAACAGACTATCTTTTAGAGCAGCTTTAGGTTTACAGAAGAATTGATCAGAAATCTCACATGTACCCCCTGTAACACTGCAGATAGTTTCCCCTATTAACATCTTGCATTAATGTGGTACATTTGTTACTTTTGAGCTGAATGCTTTCCAAGACCAAGGTTGTGTCATGGATAATGTAAGTTAACATCAGGGATAGATTCTTACTACCTTTTCTATTGGATGACCCCTATCATAGCAATAAACTCCCACAGCGTGTGCATAAAATAATGAGTCCGTTATCACTCTAGGGAGCTTCCCTAAGTAACTATGCGTCACCTCATGTTGGAGAGATTTGCGAGGTTGTTTATCTAAGGGCTACTGATGGGAATTCCTTGAAAATGTGAAAGTATCTTATGACCATAATATTGTGCAATCTATTATGGCTTTGGGAGCAGGAAAGTTTGTGCCAGGCTTCCACAAGAGAAGTATAGTCCTAGTGGTACACATGGTGCCCCCAGGATGAAAATGTCATCTATGGTTATTGGGGTTTCCCAAGGAGGACTTTCTTCAGTTAGGGAGAGGCTTGATCCCAACTGGTCCTATCAGGGAAGATGTCCTTACCATGGGCATCTACATTTGTGACCCTGATTTGCGATTGGCAACCGGGATTTTTTTCTTATAGTTTGTAGCTCAAAAAAAAAAATGTCTTTAATCTGGCAGTCTGTAGCCTCCTAAATGGCAGACCAGACAGCAACAGCCCAGGAGATAATACAAATGTCCCAAAGTTCATCAAGGGAAGTACTAGCCTGGCTATGAGCATTTTTCCGTGTTCTGCCAACTGAACAGAGAGACCATATTGGCTTTTGGTTATACATAGCGGGTGCTGATTTTGCACAGATGGTTTTCCATAGCAGTACAATGCACACCATCATATTTCAACATAGATGAGCAGTCAGTGAACCAGGCCCAGGCATTTAGGGAAATCACTGTGAATGGAAAGGCTCATTGAGCCAGCAGTTTTGCTTAAGGCAGTGAAGTGAAAGATAAGAAGGATTCCCCCAAAGGGGTAGTTTTCACTTTTTAATGTAAATCTGCTAAGCTGCCAAGGCCAAGTCAGCTGCTTTCTTGAAAACATAATTTCTATTTGACAAGCAAGGCTTGTAGGGTCCTTCCCACCTTGTTATTTGTTGAGTCTAAAGTCACCCACCAAAAACATGTGAACATCAGGCTGGTGACTCACAAGACCTGCTTGTGGCATGCATTCAAATGGCTCAACAAAGTATATTTGGCAATTATATCAGAAAGATGACACCTTTGTTCTGGGAATTGTTTTTTCTGAGTATTAAGGCTGCAATTACTTCTCTAACTAAAGTATTGTCTTCCCTCTCCTGTGACTCCCATTTCTCCTGGGCTAGCTGGGAGAGGATAGGGAGTAAGGGTGTAAAGTGATCTAAATGTCTCACTCTCTCTACATGTAGCCATCCCTGAATGGGAGAACGCCTCTGACATACACAGGACGAAAAAGTGCAATCACTTAGCACATCAACTCTATTATCCATTTAGCTATGGGGGTCAAAACAATGTTGGTTTAACATTCCTTCCTCAATATGGGCCCCTTCCAAACCCTATCTGTTGAATTCGGGTGCCCTTTCCTCCTATGGAACCAGGTAAGACAGTAATTTCGGCACTTGATTCCACCAGGGTCATGAAAATTTGTGTCTCCCATCCCTTTCCCTGGAGTTCCCACAATACCTGATGGTGATGGACATCCTTCAGTCTCCCCACTGGAAACAGGGAGACTGAACACATATGTTCTTTACAGGAGATGAGTTCAGGGTAGAGACAGGGCTCAGGATCTGGCAACACCAATATACTCACACACACAGCACACAGACTCAAACACAGAGGTCATTTTCATCAGCATTAGAGAAAAAATTGGGGACCATAAGAAGCTAAATACTAGTCAGTGCTTCACCTTTTGTTTCCCGCAGGAGTTTGCCTGTCTCACGAAAATCTTTGAAGAAGCCAAAGCGCCCTCATAGCAGGCAGGACTCATGTTGACAACTTTGAGAGATTTTATTGTCATTCCAGAATGGATCTAAGGTTAGCATGAAAACTACGAGGGGCTGAGCAGAAAGGCAGTCCACCCGCTGTCATTGCTTCTTACTGAGAACTACATATCTCATTCCTGCATGCCGTAGGTGAACCGGCCAATCCTCTAGTGATGTGGCTGTAGCAGTCTTGAAGTCCTCTTGTTTCATGCTCACTGTACATGTATATCTCTAAATATTGTTGAGGGTTGTAGAGCCTTCCTTCAACCCTAGGGGGGCCTCATTGCTAGATATTACAGTGGGGCTGAAATGAGGCTGACAGCCCAGGCAGTGCTCGTGCCTACACAAGAGCTGCTTTTGAGCCTATCTCCTGGCATTTGTCCCCCTCATCACAAGGCGACAAAGTGGAGAACTACTTCTTGGCAAATAACCATATCATTTAGTCAACATATCTACCGCTGGTTCTCAAGGACTTCCCTCACGTCTCTTTAAATGACCCTTTTCTGGAAAGTCGTGTCTCTATCAGTAGCTTGTCCTCCTCACCGGGACTGTGGGGGGATTGAGTTGACCTTACTCACAAGTTAATAAGATAGCCTACTGCAGTCACATAGATGCTGACAGAAGACACAAGCCTCCTGGGTCAGAGACGAACGACTTTACTACTTGCGGAAGAAGTAACAGTCAGAGTCTCAGCGTAGCTCCACATCAACCTGGAAGGCCAGATATGGTCGACATGCTCAGTAGGTTGCTCCATAATAGAACTAAGGGCTTAACTACTGTCATTTCAATGGCAAGTAGTGAGGAAGAATGTTCTTTGGTTGGAGAAGACATAAGATGACCTCTCAGGTTTGCCAGTTTCATAAACAATCCTAAAAAATGGTTTTGGGTGAAAGAGTGATCAGGGCCTTACAATCTTGAAACACTGCATAAGATGTATACAAATAAAAGAAGCCCATAGAGGACCACCTCCAAGCACCCAAATTAAGCAACAAAACTTTACCAGCAACCCAGAGACTATCCTATGCCGCTTCCTTCCAGTTATTGCTTATATCCTAAAAGTTCCCAGTATCCTGACTTCTAAAATATTAATTATATTTGTGTATTCAGATAAGAAAAATCACTGAGCATATTCTCATTTGTTTTTGACTTCTTTCGCTGGAAATTACAACACTGATATCCATCCATATTGCTGTATGTTGTTGGACATTGTTCATTCTCATTACTGAACAACATTAACTCTGGGAATATAGCACAACTTATATATCCATTCCACCACTGATGTTGCTAGTTGGGAGTTATGAGTAGTGCTGACGTGATCATTCTGATACAAGTCCTTTGATGAAAATATTTATTCATTCTTTCTTAATATATACTCAGTCAAAAATCACTGGATCTTAGAATATGAAACTCTGCCTAACAAAATTCTAAAGTGATTTTACTAATTTAAATTCCCTACAAACAGCACTATATGGGAATAACAGTTGCTTAACATCTTCAACTCTTAGCATTTTTTATCTCCTTCATGTTAGCCATTCTGATGGGTGTATGGTGTTATCATATTGTCATTTTACTTTGCATACCCTTGATGACTAATGGTGTTGAGTATGTTTATTGGCTATTTATATATTCTCTTATGTAATATAATTGGTCAAGTTTTGTAAGAATTTTGAGTAATTCTGAATCAAGTCCTTTATTAAATATGAACGTATTTCATATACATTTCCAGTCTGAGGATTGCCTATATTCTCTTTATGCTATCTGTTGATGACCAGAAGTTCATAATTTTAACATAGTGGTGCATAACACACACACACACACACATTTAGACATTGCTTATCCTCTTTCTTCAGTTTTTGTCTATTCCAAAATCTTTTAGTTGTTCCCCTATGATTTTTTAATAAGCTTTGTTTTATCTTTTACAATAAAGTTAACCTTTCATCTGGTGTTATTTCTGTATATGTGATTAGGTAGGTGTCATAAAGTATTTTTCCCTGGTGACACAGCACCATGTATTGAAAAGACAATCCTTTCTCCACTGTGTGTAGGCTTCCCTTTATCATAAGACAAGTGACCCTGGACGTGCACGTCTATTTCTGGACTTTCTACTCTGTTCCACTGTTCGGTTTTTCTATTCTTGCACCATTGCTTTTCTGTCTTAATTATCTTAACTTATAATATGTCTTAATATCTAGTAGTATTACTCCTTTAGCTATGCTTTTTTTCCTTGAAGATTACTTGATCTGTTCTTAGCCCAGACTTTTCATTTCCATATGAATTTTAAAATCAGTTTTTAATTTCTTTATACACATATACACACACATATACACACAATGGAAGTCTGAGGGACTATATATTAGAAATTACTTAGGAACAATTGACAACTTTAAAATATTGAGCTTGCCAATTCATGATTCTAGAATATTACTCCATTTATTTAGCTCTTGTTTTATTTCTCTCAATAATGTTTTGTAATTTTCAGTGAAGAGGATTTTCATTATTTTTAATTAGACTAATTACAATAAATTTGATGTTTTTCCTGCTAGTGTAAATGGAAACTGAAATTTAATTTTCTCTTGTCTTGGCACAGCATAAACAAACAAAATTAATTTTTGTGTATTAATATCTTATGGAGTGACTTTGCTATATGTACTTATTAATTCAGATTGTGTTATACATACGTTCTTTTGGATTTTTCTAGGTACACTATAATGTTCCATGAAAATTTAGTTCTTTCTTTGCAAGTCTCAAGTTTTGTATTTATTTGTCCATGCTATATTGCACTGACTACTATCACCATCAGAATGCTGGAGAATAGTGGTGATATTGGGCATCCTACTCATTCTTGATCTTAGGAGGGACTGTGTGTTAAACGTTTTGCCATTGAGTATGATACATTCTAGGTTTTCTTATAGTTATTCTTTATCTCTTTAAGAAAGTTCGCTTTTATGTCTAGTCTACTGTGTTTATATATATATATTTTTAAATAATGTGTTGATTGTTGTAAACTTTTTCTGTATGTATTAATTTTGCATCTATGATCCCATATGACTCCCACCTTCTTTTCCATTAATTGGTTGAATTATTTGACTTGAGTGAATTTCAAATGTTAAATATTTCTTGCCATTCTAGATTAAATTCTACTTGGTTATCATGTGTTATTCTCTGTAATGTATCACTGGATTTGATTTAATAATATCTCATAAGAAGTTTTTGCATCTTCATGTAGGGAAAAGTTGGTCTTAAATTTTTCTTTCTTGTAATGCCCTGTCAAGTTTTGTACCAAGTTACTTATAGTTTTACGATAAAAATTAAGAAATATTTGTTGTATTTCTATTATCTGGAAGAGTTAAGAATGATGAGCAATCAATTTTAGAAAAAATCAATGAAATCTTCATTTTCAAAAACATTTAACTAGTGGGGCTGGCCCCGTGGCCGAGTGGTTAAGTTCGCGCGCTCTGCTGCAGGCGGCCCAGTGTTTCGTCGGTTCGAATCCTGGGCGCGGACATGGCACTGCTCGTCAGACCACGCTGAGGCAGCATCCCACATGCCACAACTAGAGGAACCCACAACGAAGGATACACAACTATGTACCGGGGGGCTTTGGGGAGAAAAAGGAAAAAATAAAATCTTTAAAAAAACAAACAAACAAAAAAAACCATTTAACTAGTGAAGCTTTCTAGACTAGATTTCTTTAAAGATAATTTGCAAATTTGTCTTCCTTTCTGTTTTCAGATTTGTTAAATTGTGGGTTACCCAATGTACCAAATTTGTTGTTCATAAAATTCTTTCATTGTTTTGGTATCTGCAGAATCTATAGTGATGGATATCTTCACTTTCATTCTTAATACTAGTATGTTAGAGAAAGTGAAGTGGGTGAATTGGTTAAAATAGTGGACTTAAAAATATCATAGTTTTCTTTGTTGCTGTATTTTTCAGACTAGGGTAGCTTATGCTGTAATAATAAGCTTATAATATCAGTGGCTCTACAGAACATATGTTAATTTCTTGCTCATCCACAGTCTTCTGCAGGTTTTGGCAAATCTCCAGGGCCTCAAACCAAGGTATTTCAATTTTACTGCCCCATTATCTGAACATGGGCATTCTAAATTATTCATGGCAGGGGGAACAGAGACTGGTGATTTACTTAGGAGCATTCATGGTCTCAGGCCACATATGATACACATATCTGCCAGTTTTGTTTCACTGATAAGAACTACTCCTATGGCTCCTTTTCGGAATAAAGGGTCTTGGAAAATAGGTTTTCTGTGTACTCACAAAGAAAAGGAGATATCAGTGAACATCTGTAATGTCTACCACAATTGGGAACTCATTGGATTATGGATTTTTTATCTTGGCTTGCAAATTACTTCTGACTCCAAAATTGTCTTTTAAAACATGATATTTTATTCATGTTCATATCTAATAATTTTTTAAATTAAGAACTTGTAATTTATCATGAACTACTAGGACTATGTATTCTGAAGTTAAAAAATTTTTGCTTGGATTCAAATTCAGCCAAGAGATATAATTTGTTTCTGTCCATATTGTGTTAAAAATATTGATCGAGCATTTAAAACCAAAAATCTAAATTCTTTTGGCATCTCTTTAAAATCAATTATAGTCACAATTACCTAAAGCTGAGCAGCAGATGCCATTTTTTGGATAATTTAAGGATGCCTTATTTCACCTAATTCTCCACTAGTTTTTATTTTTTTATATACTGCCTATTAAACCCTGGTAGCTTTTAAGCTCATTGTCCTCTAAGTACTCCTTTATATGTTTAAGTATAAATATCAATCCTCTGACAATTGGGAGATACTTTTATTGCTTTAAAATTATCTGTGATTACTCTTCAATCAAGTGATACATTATGAATACAGGTAAAGGAAAATGTTTTAAAACTTTTTGTACTTAACTGTTAGCTTACCGAATAATGTTGGGAATATGTAAAAAGATAAAATAAGCATGTATTGAATTTAATAGAAAAATTATTATTGCTTACATTTTTAATTTGTCTTTTAGTTTTAAATCAATGATGAGCCATCTGGTAAAAGACACAAGATTATTTAAAATGGAAAATGCAGTAAGTGTACTGTTCATTTTAAATTGCTCTTGTCATCATATTTTGTTATCTTGAGAATTTATTTGAATAAAAGTTTGACAGAAGTTCTAAATTCACTTTTTATTTCTTTGACAGATATGTATTTCAACTCCAAAAATCTACCAAATAAATACACCTGATTTTGTTTATTGGATTGTTGCTTTCATTCAACGTTTTTATCTGTAATAGGGTATCTGTTATTTTCCTTACTTTATTAAAGCACACTAATATGGTGATTTTTTTGTTTCTTTTTTAATGTATCAGGTACCTGACTGCAGGCTGATGTAACTCTGTATGTCTCTCTATGTGTACTCTGATTGCATGTCTACTGGCTAATTTTCTCTGGTTTTTACAAAATCACTGTAACACTATAGAAAATTTGGATTCAGGAGATAGTACTATTTTATATACATTTCTCTATTGCATTCTGAAACAAAGTATACTGGTAAATTTGTGAGGAAGACTGATGCTATATCCATATTTGTGCACAAATATTAGAACCTCAAACTGCGATGAGAAAAGTGACTTTGGGAAACTCCTGGTGTCAGCTTTGACATATAAAGAGCTTGGAAGTCATCACTTTTATCCTTAAAAGAATAAAAGAGAACATCCTGAAAATCAAAAGTCTTGTTATGGATCCATCAGATAGTTGAGGTCACAGGGAAACCCACCATTTGAAATCTAGAGAGAGTCTAACACAGAGAATCATAGCCGAAGTCACCTTACTGAGAGCAAAAACTACTCAGTTCTCCTCGCTCCTCCTCCCTCCCGGCTTCTATGTTGAGGAATAGGGGACATTTCTGCCCTAGGTTTCTCCTTTTGATGCAGTTTGGGTGCAAAGGGACTCGGTCTTCACTTACTAGGTTAATAAAATTGTTTTTGTGGACAAAAAAGTACTATTGGATTATAACACAGACTATAAAACAATATCAAGTCCATACAGCTATAAATAAATAGCTCAATGAATTAAAAATGGAGGAGAAAAGACAAATCTCACATGCAGAATAATTCCAAATAATTTATGTGGATATTCTCCTCTCACAGAGAGAGAGCATAATTCTCTGCTCCATAGGTGTGGACTACACAAGTGATTTACTTCAAGGAGAAATTTACAGTGTAGAAACCTGACAAGTACTACCTCAGCCCAGTGATCAAGGCCAACCTCAACTGTGATAAATCATGTCGATAGTATGTACACTTGATAGAATGCGGTGAAATGGCACTTTACCTTTGTGATCTTTCTCCTAATAACCTATAAACCCAATCTTACCATGGGAAAAATATCAAGCAAGTTCTAGAATTCTAAATTCTACAAAATCCCTGAAAACTACCCCTTCAAAACTGTCAACGCCATCAAAAACAAGCTAAGTCTGTGAAAATATCACATCCAAGAGGAGCCTAAGAAGACCTGACAACTAAATGTAACATTTCCTGGATGAGATTCTGGAACAGAAAAAGGACATGATGTAAAAACCAAGGAAATCTAAAGAATTCTGAGCTTTATTTAATACTAATGTACAGAAAAAGGACATGATGTAAAAACCAAGGAAATCTAAAGAATTCTGAGCTTTATTTAATACTAATGTATAAACATTTGTTCATGAATTTAACAAATGTATCAAACTAACGTAAGATGGTAATGGGGGAAACTGAATGTGAAGTATATGAGAACTCTAAATTTTTCTGTAAATCTAAAATTTTTCTGAAAATCAAGTCTATTAAAAAACAAAGTCTATTGACAAAAACATGGATTTTACACTTTGTTGTATGTATATTTCAAAAAAAAAAGTTTTTTAAGTGTCTCTACTAGGTAACAGGCAGAAGCTGGGCATTTGTAAGAAGCCATGGAGAAGGGTGATGACCACGAACAACTGGAAGTCACACCCCCATCCGTACAGAAATACAAGCCCAGTGTTGAAAAACCTGTGAGTTTTCAAGAAATCTGGGGATTTAGATTTCATATTGAAGTTATCTCATTTTTAAATATTGTCATTTGATTCATTTAAAAATATTATATGTCTATTCATAGGTAACTTTATTGCATATTAAAGAAAATCACTCTGATCATTCAAATGTAGTCTCTAGGCAGACAGTTTGATATTTTTGTCCAAAAAACGTTCCCCAAATTCTTGATTATCATATTTTTTCTTTTATCATTGTTTTTTTTATTACTCTGTATTCCTACTTGGTTTGAGAAAAAGGTACTATGACAAAGAATATGACCTGAATAATTTAAAATCAATTTTCTCAATTTATGTTTATCAATTTTTCTGAAATCCCAAATTGTACTTTTGTTTAAGTGTCATGTGATTTAATTATGGTTAGATAATTCAGTTCTTAGTCTTATTCTTGATAATTCTAATTTGGCCATCCATAACAAAGAATGTGTGATAGTTAATTTTATGTGACAACTTGACTAATAAGAGAAGGCCCAGACAGTTGGTAAGACATTATTTCTAGGTGTGTTTGTGAGGGTGTCTTTGGAAAAGAGTAGCGTTTGAATCAATAGACTGAGTAAAGAAGATTGCCCTCATCAATGCAGATGGGCATCATCTCATCCCTTGAGGGTCTAAATAGAATAAACAACTGGAGGAAAGGCAAATTTGCCCTCTCTGCTTGAGCTGAGACATCCATCTTCTCTTCTGTTGCTTTTGTGTTCAGAGTCAGACCAAGACTTACAGTAGACCTCCTAATTCTCAGGTCTTTGGACTCAGATTGAATTACACTCTGGCTTTCCTGGTTCTCCAGCTTGCAGATGGCAGACCATGGGACCTCTTGGCCTCTATAACCATGTGAGCCAATTCCTATAATAAATCTCCTTTTATGTATATTTATATATCCTATTGGCTCTATTTATCTGGAGAACTCTGACTTAACAGGATGGTGTTAATATCTAATATTTACTCTGCTTGCCTGGATGCACCTATTTATTATGCATAGGAAAGCATGAGATAAATAAGCAAGAGAGAATAATTGCTGAAAATGATAAAATACTAACTAAACTTTATATTTTATGCAAGAAATAAAAAAGGTCATATTGATTTATTTATATTTATAACCTTTAAATGTAAAATGCATTAAAATAGTTTCACTTTCCAATATTAAATTACTCTTGATTCTGGGCTGTAAAATCAAGGAAACCATTTTTGCTTGTAATTGTATTGAAGTTACTAATGAGTGATTTGTTTTATATTTTATGTCACATTCAGTAAACTTACAGAGCTATGAAAAATCCAAGCATTTTCTTAATTAGTAACTTAAATTACTTCCTTTTGGATAAATGTAGATTTCCTTAGATTTCATATTGCTTATCAGATACTAGAAAAGATTTATACATTTATTGTAAAAAATATTCTCTTATAACCCCTTCAGTGAAATCATTTGATCTATTATGTTCACACATTTTATAATAGAAATGAAAAAAAGAACATGAGAAAAGCTCAATGTCCATTTGACCCAATAATACATTTCTAAGTACGTATTCTGCAGAACACTTTCCTCATAGGCGCAAAGATGTATATGCAAAAATGCTTCTTTTGATACTATAATAGAATAAAAAAGAAATGGAAAAACACGAGCATAATTAAGTGATTTATAGTACATCGTGCAATGGACTACAATGGAGCCCCAAAATAGAATAGTGTGCATATTTATTTATTTGTCCTGACAGGGAAATCATTCAAGGACATATTAATAAATGCCCAAAAATGGTTGCAAAAAACAAGTAAATGTCTAGTATCATCCTACTCAATAAAACTAAAATGAATGAGATAAGGATAATAAAAACGAAGGATACAGTGCAATATATAAAAATTAGTTTAAAGCACCAAATTAGGATTTAATTTATAGCTTGTGCCAAAATGTCATCAATACCATTTGCTGGGGACTTCTGCTTCTGTTTAGGACATAAAAAGCTGCTAGAGAACATCACTACCAGCCTGACAAGAGATAACCCACAAAATCATAAAGTTTCTTCATCCTATGGGACAGCTGAAGTTGAAAGAAACATAGTGAATCTTTTCCAAGTGTGACAAGACTTTCAGAGGAAGGTTGAGATATATGAATTGTTTCACCGTCTGATGCACTCAGGTGGGAGAGGTGGCCACCATAAATGCAGACAACAGAAAACCAAGTAAACAGATATTGAATTCTTAATGTGCAGGAATGGGCGAACACAACAGTTTAGAATCCCTGGGAGATCAGTCCTAAGGGGAACTGGCATTCACACGTGAGCTCTTTTCAACAGTCGTCCCCTGGGTACTGTTGAGAGCCATCTGGACAAAATAGGATACCCGAGAGAGGTTCCATTCAATAGCACACAAACAAACAAACAAACAAACAAACAAAAACTCTGCATGATTTCTGATTTCTTCTCTCATACAGAACCTAAAACCCTGCAATAAGAGGCAGAAACATGTCCATAATGAATTAAAAACACTATATATGACTATATGTGGGACTCAGATAAAGGAACACTTAGAGGGAAATTTATTGTATTAAATGCTAAGTAATATGATCAGACCTAAAACTTAAAGTGCTGCCTTGATTCCTCGAGCCCCACAGGGTCACAAAGCCTAACCATGAGTTTTCCTGGTCTTTGCAGGTACACCCCTGACCTAAAAGGAAAGGCCCCCCACTGGCTAGTTCCTCTATGAGCAGGAGCAGCTGTGTTACATTGGGTCCTCAACCTGATGGGTTTCCCTTCCCTAGCAGTCAATGAAATTATTCAAATAAACCATCACCCACTGGTAGTGTCTGGAGGGTACCTCACCCTCTTGTTACTACACAGATTGCTCCAACAGCCCCTGCTGGTTCCCTCTGCTCCTGAGTACATGGCTCATGGCACGTGGTTTTCTCCCCCATTGAACTGTGATTGTATGTGACCGATACACTGCTGTCCATCTCATCAGTCCAGTGTCAAATGTCGTGTGTTTGGTCATCTCATACTATTCAGGGCAGGGATCCCTCCTCCACCCACAAGGTGAAGAACAAGAAGAAAAAGGAAGAGAAATGGTATTTTAGCTTCAATTTTAGTCAGAAAGGAAATAAATATTTTAAAACAATTTTTACATACCTATATTTGAGTAGTCTGGCTCCTGGTTAAAAACCTATGTGTTTTTCAGGCCTGTTTTTCAGGCCTGACTGTAAGCACTTATAAAAGCTTTCTGGGGAAGTTGTCCCCCCACGTCCCCATGCCAAATTTGGTGCACAGCCAATCGTTGCCATTCTCTGAAGG